GGTGCCTACAGATCTAAGTAGCAACTGAGTGAGGTTTCTGGGAGTCTCAGTGGTACCTAATTGTTGGACTTCAATCCCTAAATCTTTTTTGTGAATCTACTTGTAATAGCTTTATTTTCAAAGGTGATCAAAATAAGTTGACAATTTTGGCCCTCGGTATTTTAAAAAGTCAGGAAGCAAGACTTTTTAAAATGATGGTCTCTTAGAAATATGAAATTGCAACCTGCAATGACACTAAATTGAAATTGAAGTCATCAGTCCCATTATTTCAGCAGATTATTAATTGGGCCTGAAATTGAACTGGGCCAAAAGAGCCAAATACTGTTCCCATCATAGTCAATGAAAAAAATCTAATTAACTTTGATGAAAGCAAAAATAGACTATTAATGTCATTATCTCAGGAGCAAATTTTTTCTTATGATTTGAATAAGAATGGTGTCATTTTTGCATATCCATGGAGATTTGTTTTGCTTTAAAAACAAATCATTACAAAATGAAGGATATGATACTTCAAAAATGATGTTAAATAACATAAAACATCTGATTTTGTTATCTTGCAAAGCCAGAAGATCAAACAAGAACTAGATCTGCATAAAGCGGAATTCTCTCAAATCAGCACTATAGCAGCTGGAGGGGTTGTTAAATCAAGAAACATTGTGTTATCTTGGGTGGCACTAAATTACTATAAAAACAATCTGATCAGACCAAATGCTCCTTGATACCAAGTCACTTCCTCAGGATCCTGAAGCAGAACTCACTCTCTTTCTATATATTATAATTTAAAAAAATCAGATTTCAAATAATAATTATCATGATATTCAGGGCTCGACAAATAATGTAATCTACTCACCTGTGGCGAGTAGATTACAACCCGGAAGTGCCAGTGCAGAGCAATCTGTGCATGTACAGAATGGCGCGAAACTGCACGGCTGGTGAGCGGGGCTTGCCACCGCTTGGCAAGCCCTGATGATATTTATATAAGAAGATTTACCCAGCATTGCTTGAGTCCTTAATTCAAATACATTTTATTTTTCTTCATTTAAATTGTTTTTCTGGGGAGGTGCTGTGGATGAGATGTTCAGTATGCAGACTGCCCTGCAGAGCAAAGATAACCCCGGCTCTCTCTCCCTGCAGCAGCTTGGGACCAGGTGAGAAGCGCCTGTCCATGGCCTCTGCAGCTGTAGCAGGCACAGTCCAAGGAGGGGCACATGTCCGCCAACCGGGGGACAGACATACACGTGGCGAGTAGATTACAACCCGGAAGTGCCAGTGCAGAGCAATCTGTGCATGTACAGAATGGCGCGAAACTGCACGGCTGGTGAGCGGGGCTTGCCACCGCTTGGCAAGCCCTGATGATATTTATATAAGAAGATTTACCCAGCATTGCTTGAGTCCTTAATTCAAATACATTTTATTTTTCTTCATTTAAATTGTTTTTCTGGGGAGGTGCTGTGGATGAGATGTTCAGTATGCAGACTGCCCTGCAGAGCAAAGATAACCCCGGCTCTCTCTCCCTGCAGCAGCTTGGGACCAGGTGAGAAGGGCCTGTCCATGGCCTCTGCAGCTGTAGCAGGCACAGTCCAAGGAGGGGCACATGTCCGCCAACTGCGGGACAGACATACACACAAACAGACATACAAACAACTCTGAACTAGATAGCTTTCTCTTTCTCCACCCGACCCTGTGTTGGCTCAATGGTGTATAGCTGTCCCGGTCCCCATCTCTAACCTTTTGCTGCCCCTCCCCCCCCCATGGTCATTCTGCCCTTCCTGTCAGACCCCCTCCCTTTCCATTTTATGAGAAACAATCAAATTCCAGGCACATGCCATTGTCCTGGCACAACCATACCCTGACTCTGCTTTAAGTAATTATAAGAGGAATCTGCATATCGAATTTGGTGGTCCTAGCTCTTACCATTTAGGAGGAGTTGAACAAATTCATAGATGGATGGACAGAGATGCACATTTCCAAAATATAGTAAGATATGGAAGTACAGAAGTAAGTTTCACTTTCTCTTGACGACAGAGTTTTAAAATGTATTCTCTAGCTGATTAACTTCTTCCATCAGGCACTTTAATATAAGACTACAATAAAGAGAAGCCGATTCAAGAGTGTCTATTGGGCAGCCTAGGAAGTCCTGAGCAAGTTTAACTTTAAAGAAGTTTCCTTTGGTAGACAACAATAGTAACAGTGCCTGGCCTACCTTGCAAGTGAATGATCCCACTAATGAAGCTATGTCTGAAGTGCAGAAAGTTCAACTGCACACTCAGGCAGAGCCCAAAGGGTGAAGCAAGACTCATATTATCCTTTTTTAGGGGAGAAAAAGATCTGATAATCCCAAGGCATCAGTGGTATGCAGAGCTCCCCATTCACTGTGCCCTGAGTTCCCAAATAGTGTTATATCAGAAGACCTCAGGATAGAGAGATTAAGGATAAACTATAGAGAGCAGCTTTCAGTGCACCAAATGGGTGGAGTTAAATGCTGGTGGCAATTTTCCATTGAATCCTTTTGGGGTGGAAAATGGTTTCTCAATTACACTGAGAATTTCATGAAAAAATTATTTAATTGAAAAATTTGGGGGTTTTGTCAAAAACCTGAAAATCCAACATTCTTCAGATTTCAGCAAATAAAAAAGTTTGATTTTCAGGTTTTCTAAGTAACACCATGCAAGTAAAAAAAATGAATGAAAATGAAAAAAATGGTTCATCAAAAATTTTAGCAGAGAAAGAAAAAAATCCCTTCTTCAGATCAGCTCGAGAATGAAATATACAGATCCCACTATTATGAATTGTTCTGATGAATTACATCTTTTATTTCCCTTCACTTTCAGAGGTGCTGCATTAGGAAGCATCTTTCTTCCAGTTAAGAAACGGCAAATGTTGAAGTAAACAAGTGTTGTTCTAAGGTCACTGTACAACATTGCTCAAAGACAGGTAAGGTTCTGCAACTCCAGCAGTCCTGACACCTTCTGGCCCACTTGTATATTTCAAGAAGAAATATACAAGAAATATAATGATGACTCTTGACCATCCAACCACTTTAGTTTTGTTCAGTTTTCTCAAGGCCTCACCCAACACGTGCTCATACTACAGAAATATACCCACTCGTATTTTAAAAAGTGATGAGGGATTTCAGATGATTTCATTCATGAGAGGTCAGAATGACTGACACACTCTAAAGAGGCCTGATTTCCAGAAAGTGCTGAGCACCTGACTAAGTATCTTTGTGATCAAATTTAGAAGAATTCTTTCCGATTGCCTCTACTGGGAGCTTGGATGCACTAGTCACAAATACTGTATGCACTGATTCATCAAATGTTTTAAGGTGGGAACCAAAAGTTTGCATTTGAAACTAGGGATATGATCATTAACCGGTTAACTGGCGGAGCTGGAGCAGCTCCCAGCCCACCTCAGCCCAGCCAGAGCAGCCCCAGCCTGCAGTGGACCTGGCCTTGGGCAGGGGTGCTCCAGCCCAGCCAGAGCAGCTCCTGCCCATGGCAGTGAGGCCTCTCCAGCCCAGCTGGGCTGGAGTAACCCAGCACTCCTCTTTAATCCGTTAACTGGTTAACCAATTAAACAGGATTTTAGATCCCTATTTGAAACCACTTCACAGGAGAAAAATATTACCACAAAATCTAAACCTGCATATGAGCTGTCCAGTGACTGCCTTTAAATACTCAGACACTGAAGCACACAAAACAAAAAAATACTGCAGCAAACTTTTTAACAGAATCAGAGTGAGATGGGAAAAGGAAATGAATCAGACAACACAGGTGCTCAGTACAATGCCTTTATGCTTCAGTGGCGCCATGTAGTCATGTTTACTGGTCATGTAGTCACAAGCAAGTTGCCATTACTGTAAAAAACAAGGCCCAATTCTGTGACATACCCAGCACCCCCCACTCCTGTTTAAGATCACAGCCCTGTACAACAGAAGTGAAAGGGAGTTTTCAATACAGACCACTAAATGTGAATGAGGAGTGCTGGTCTTCTAATTACTAGGATCAAGCCAAAAATTTTATTAAAATACATAGATTTTTTACTGAGTTTTATTATATTTGGACCACATACATTTTTTCCTTAACTTTGTTTGCAAATCCCCACCCCTCCCCCACACACATCCATTTTTTTAAGAGCCTTTCTCTTTCTTAATGTATTCATCCTGCAAATCTAAGTGGATCATATATTATATTCCTAATAATGCAATTCCAAATGTTATGTCTCCGACATCTGATGTAAAAGAATAAAGAATAAATCTATAGCTTAAGTACATGTTTGTGGGATAAAAATAGTCAATTTTGAAAAAAAAATTATAATGGAATTATTATACGGTATAGTTGGTAGACTTTCATATACTACTCATTTTGTCTTTGGTTAACTCAATAAATTATATTTGCTTTATAATGAACAAAAACATCCATCTCATTGTAGCATAGCAAAACTCTTTTTAAACGGATTTTGAAATCGGGGTCATTTTTGTTTTTGACAAAAAATCAGAGCCATGTATTCTTGAGCCTTTAACTATATTTTCTCCTCAGTCATCCTTTATCATTATGTTGGAACCTTCCTGCTAATTACCAAACCACACACATAATAAATAAGAGTTATTCCATTTTGAAATTTCTAATATAAAAGTTTCTACTCTTCCAGGGTCAGACCTTCAGAAGTGCTAATCAAATTGATTGCTTATAAGCCGCTTTTTCATAGATTCCTGATTAAGCTTGGAGTATATAACAAGGACTGGACTAACCCTTGTTTACAGGATTTCTGTTCATATGCACAGTGATGTACCGAAAGCACTGTCGAACTTACTGTGGCTTGCATAGTCAAAGCTTTCTGTTATTTGGCCTTCCTCTCTCTGACAAATATGAACAAAACCAGGTTAACTCACCTAATCCATCTGAATCCAGACTGGTTTATCATTCAACTGCTGAGACTTCTTATTTTACTCAAATTCTTCGTAACCCAGAAGAATGGGAATAAGAAAACATGCCACTTACACTAGAAGCTGCTGCTGCTGTTTTCCTCTGCTGTATCACCACTCCTCGGGGTTGCTTCTACCATGGTAACTCAGGCGATTGTTTCTAAACAGAAAACCAAATGTTTAGAATTGCTACCCGTTTCAGCGCTGGGGGGCTCCTCTGTTGTCCTCGGCACTAGCTTTGTGTTTATGGCAACCCAAATGGTACCTTGTCAGCACAGGAAATCCTGAGATTCCAGATAAAGTTTGTCGCGGAGGCACAGAGCAAGCCGCGGGTGGGGTGCACGGGGCACGATGCGATACAGAAGCGTTTCTAGGTTTAAAGCAGCTCTACGGTGAAGGGCGAAGGTGGGGGTCAGAGTCCCCCAGCCCTCCCTCTGCCTGCGCACACCCCGGCCCCCACCTCCTGGGGAGAGAGGCAGCTCCCCCCTGGCTTGTGGAGGAGCCGGGCTCCGTGCGGCTGCCCTCCAGAGCAGCCCGCCCCGCCTCGGAAATGCAGCTGCCTGCACCGCTGAGCACAAGGCAGGATGGGCAGGGCCCGCGGGGGGAAGGCCTCGGGGC